TTTCAATAAATTATTATTTTAGTATTCAATATTGTAAACACTAATTCAACATAAAATAATTTTTATATACAATTATTTTCTGCACAAACAATCATCCTCTTTAGAGTTGGAGAAGGAAGGCAGAAGAACTGGAGTTGAAGGTGATAACATTGGAGAAAAAATTAAAAAGATTTGAAAAGGATAAAGGTAAAAGATCTATAATGTCAATCATTCACTGATTCATAGGCGAATCACCAATATACAAAAAATTATTTTCCATTTATTTCATTTCGTTTATTTATTTGTTTATCTTGCAATAGTTATTACAGAGACTGGGCTCAAACATAAGAACGATGAAGATATAAATATTAATACAAAAGCACTTTTCAAGAGAATAAAAGATTCAGACCCTCCAAGTGAACTTGCAAAACCAAAAGAATGGATAAAGGAACAAAACAGTGGCTCTATTTATTTCAATCATCGCCCAGCTAATATCTCTGGGAATCCTGTCATTCTTCAGCATCCTATCTTCGGAACCTTTCTTGAGGACTGTGAAACCATAACACCAAATGATGTTGACTGCGCCTTTGTCCTAGAAGCAACTGAATCTATGTCAAATGTATTTACTAATGAAAATGAAAGAAGAGATGCATTCAAGACACTATATTGAAAACATTACAAAGTTAGCCTTAATCAATATACAAATACAAGGATAACAACAGATGGCTCTTCCTTTGGAAAAAATGGAATGTATATGACAAGCACAATAGAAGTGAAGCCGGAATTGGGGATAGGACACTCCTGTCCTTATATCCAAGCTGGTATATACTATGCGAAGCATGTTTCGACCCTTCCAGTTTCTACTGCAAATGAAATCCGTTTACCATGTCTCTTATTGTATCTTGCAGGTTAGAATCTAATATCTGCTGTATAATTTCTTTGTGTTCAGCTATTTCTAAATCCTTTTTTCTTTTCTTAGACCCATATGTTGGTATTGCAGCCATCATATTTTCTGGTGACAAATTTCTATGTGATCCTCTAACACCACTTCTTCCACTTTTCTACCTTCACCACTATCAAAAATTTATGGATCACTTAGCTCAGACATTCTGTGCTTTTAAAAAAGCATTAGATGCATTGGATTATTATTACATGGATCCCCCTAAAATTCTTCCTTCACAATTGGAGTTCCCATACATTAACTCATTCACCCATATTTCAAATAGAACAAGTATTCAATTTTGTTACCTCAAACAACTCTACAAAGACAAATTACTGTTTCTTGTTGAGCAGAAAAGCAATAACAATGTGCCAAAACAATTACTTGTAAAGTTTACAGAACAATATGGGATAGATGCGCACAAGGCCTGTATAGATTTAGGTATTGCTCCTCACCTTTTTGGTTATCAGAATATTTCAGGAAGATGGCTTATGGTTGTGATGGAAATTTTAGATGATAATTATGAACATTTGTCTCTACATGTACCTACAGAAGTAAAAAGTGCCTTTAAAGAAGCTGTTGGAAAGATTCATGGCGCAGGATTTTTACATGGTGATTTGAGAGATCTAAACATCCACTATCAAACAAAAAAGAAAGACAATAATGATGGTGTTCAGGTAGACATTAAAATTGTTGATTATGATTGGGCTGGTAGGATTGATCACCCAACAACAATATATCCCTCATATCTTAATCCCAAAATTACAAGGCATTATGATGCCCACTCTGGGTGTCAGATTAAACAGGAGCATGATGACTATATGGTAAATCTCTTGATACAGTAATATAAATTCATAAAATGTACTTTACATATTAACCAAATGATAAGATATTGATATTGCAAGTAATATAGTTGTAGATACATTGGATAATTATTGGTTGTGTTAAATGTTGAAATTGATCTGATGCTTTCTGCAGTTAAAACTAGTGTAATTTAATACTAATTATTATAAATTTATATTTTGTTATATATAAAATAATACAACACAAAGATAATTATAATAAATATTGTATTAAGTAATCTTCATGGAAAGGTGTCCAATTTACTTCACATTAGTGTCCAAAACTGCTTTCAATTTTAATTTACACATATCAGAATATTTACTGATAAGTATCAGTGCACAAGGATTTTGATGTTAACCCATGATATTTGTCTTATTTGATGCAAAATGCAAGTGTGGAAGTTCATTTATCATAGTGAATTTATAGTTGCTTTATTGCCCATGCTCTATCTATAGCCAATCTTATATTCCTACTTTATTTTGTTTGTTCTCCCAAGGCTTCTCTGCAAGCCCCTGATTTTTTGAAAACCTACAAAGTGAACACAAAATTATAAAATTATATATAGGGATAGGTGTATATGAAAAATAATAATAAATATAATGGTTCTAATGAATATCAAAAAGCCATTGATTT